TCTCTCTTTTTACTCTTTCCAGAGTACTCTCGATACTCTTATGGCAATTGCAGCATTGGCTTCTTGTGGTGCTATCTGTTCACTAGTTCCTTCAAATATTTGTGGTCTGCTAGAACCTATGCCTTGCAAATATTTGTGGTGGCATCCCCTGGATAGGTTCATGTTTATGAACTGACTAGCAATCTCACCCTCCCCACCCCTGGATTTTATCGTTAACTTCTCCCCTCTCAGACACCTATGAGTGAGTTGTATTATAGTGGTACAAATTCTGAACCTGGTTTGAATAAATACAACTTGAAGTTAAATTCATGGATGGAAGGTGGTATGTAGCTATGTATAGTAGTTTCTTTAGCAGCAGTTGATGATGGAAGGTGGCCACAACGTAATTTCAAACAAATCAACTTGACTTGAAGTTAAATGGGTGGATGAATGGTGGGTGTGTTATGTGATTTTGTTGCAGTTGGAGGTACAACGTTATGTAATAGTTATAATGAAAGATTTTACTAGGAGAAGGAACTGCTGTTAGCTAAGTCCTCTTTATGATGCCTGGCTGTTAGTGGTTGATTCAAAAGTTTCCCATGCTTTTTATTTATGTTTATGTATTTATGTGTTTGAATTTAACTCTCCGGTCTAAAAGCTGAACCCTTTTTCTGCAGGGATCAATTCAGGCAGGCTATTGTAAAGCACGGCTGTGCTGAGTTTCTTAGTAGGTCTCGAAGAACGTATCCTAAAGAGAAGTTGTGGAATAGTCCAATGAGTCCACCGGCATGGTCAAACTCTTCTGTTAAAGGTATCATATCATTCTGTCCTATTACAGGGCCTTTTGCTTCTGAACTTGATTGTACAGCAGCTCATCTATTTTATTTGATTCTGTTTGGCTGTCCTGTCACAGGTGTACTTTCAGCCTCTACCAGTTCAGGGACAAAGAAACCTGGTGTACTACTCAACTCTCCACGTAGACACGGTAATCAGAAGAAGTTCACAAAGCAAGAATGGGAAAGATTTCACTCGAGAATCAACCCAAATAACTATGGCAGAACTGGCAGCAACTCCAGAATTCACTGACTGGGTCATCGAGCGTGCAGACCGTATAAACCTCATTTCAAATGACAGTTCAGATGAATCAATTGGGAGCAAATCGAGTTCTATAGACGAAGAAGCTGAAGAGAGCAGCAGTCAGTTTAGATTCTTTAGTTGGAAACCATGAAGTTGAAGATAGCATTAACCCGGGAATTACACAAGAACATGTTAAAGTAGCATCAAATTTAGGAAATTTAGCAGCCATTTGCCAAGTGCAATCTCTGTGAGCATTTAGCATGACATTTTCCAAAAAATTAACTGACCACGTAATGCAGACGGTGAGACTGTTTACCATTTGATGTAACTTGAGTAATGTACAGGCGAAGCTAGGAGGACTGCGGGTATGTAATTTAGTTTTTTTTGTAGTAGATGCAAATTCGATTCGTTATTTGTTACAATATTTTATGGGGCCACACCAATATATCTTAGGGCATGAATCATTCAACAAAGAATTGGGAGAAACCAAGTTCATGGAGACACTGATGACCATTATTATAATCGAGCCTCTCATTAATTACATCAAAAGTCAAAGTTCTATAACAAATGAAAGTGATACATTTACAATGTTTTGTAGTATTGACATGTGATTATACAATTAATTTTTTTATTTTTTTATATTTAATAGAGTTTTTTTTTTTTGATTGGATATATTTAATAGAGTTAGAAATCCAGATTGATATGTATTATTTTCTTATAAATATAAAATCACAACTTTACAAGTATTTATAGATTTACTCTTTTACCCTCAATAGAAAATACAAATTCGACCTCAAGACCCTATCATGCATCTATAGCATTATATTAACTCTATGTTAGATATACTTAAGACCAAAATGGCTACCTCAGAAGCTAGAACAGTGTTTTCTCAATAATCCTTAACTAGCCCCACCACATCAATTTGGATTCAGGACATGCCACTTGTTTTGTCTGGAAATGAGAAATAGGATTTCCGTGACAATCCTCTCATTTCAAGTAATAGATCTCCAAATAGGATGCTTGAAAGGTTATCCATCTGTGAATTTTGCTGCGCCTCAAATAATGTTGCAAAATGAAGGGTTTTGCTTTGCAAGTTGGGTTGCTAATTGTCATGGAAAACTTCAAAGACTTTCAAACTACTAAGATATATAAAAGGTTATCAATCTTAAATTAAAGACAATTTACTAAGAAAATCAACTAAGAACAACATGGAATTGATATTTACTTGAAATAAATTTGCATACTAGAGACTGCCCTACCTTACAGACTAAATCTATGATTTTGCAAACCATATTTAAATTCTAGAAAACTAATTCAGTTTACTTCCAGACTAAACAAAAACTAATTAATCTACTAAAGATTATA